CTTGAAATCTCCCCTGAATATTTTAAAGGCTTGAAAACCTCGAGAGGGAATATTCTTACTCTCGGGGGTGTTCGGCTGGAGTTTCCTGGTCGGTCCAGAGTCTTGTTTCGCGGAGCCTCCATTTGTCTCGGCGATTTCCCCTGTTGCCGGCCGGTCGTGGCGTTTTAAATTCGCGCCATCGTGTCCTCCTTTTTTCGCCCGCTCCGAAGTCGCCATGTCTTTTGACTTCGGGGGTGCTGCACAGTTGTTGCCCTTCAGCTCCGCTCGTGCCTTCTTCATTTTCCAACACGCCAAGAATCGATGTCCTGCTGCGCCACAAATTTCGCAATTCTCATATTTTGTCGGCCGCTGCTTCGCGTCGATCTTGTCGATATCCATCGGGTCGGCGGTCGTGGGTGGTGCCGATCGCTCCGTGCCGAATGATCTGTTCGGCACGCGTCGTCGTGTTTCGGGTTGACCTTGAGTCAACGCATCGAATCTCTCTGCTGCACACACCAAGTCGCGGTAGTTGTTGTAGTTCGCGGCAATCACCTGTCGGCGGAATTCCATCTTTAGCCCCTCAGTATACGCTTGGATTTTTTCCCCTTCGGTCAGGTGGGTAATTTGGTTGAAGAGGCTCTCCATCTGCTGCGTGTACTGTGTTACACTGCCGAACTGTTTATGCCGATGAATCTGCTGCCGCGCCATGTAGCTGGAGTTGATTGGTTCGAAACGTTGAATTAAAGCTTCCCGAAACTGCATCCATGACCCCAACTTTTTTGGGCGAAATTCTCAGGGCCGTTGAGATTCGAATCGATCCGACGGTTGAAATTCCAACTTTTTCGTCACCGGACCCGAGGAGTGTTGAAAACCGGTTCGAGGGGGGCGTTAGAAAATAGCGTGGAACTGGTTTACGTACCCGAAATCGGCGCTTTCCGTCGTCGCCCCCGCGGTTTTAAAAGCTAGGTTTTAGCGGTCGAAAAACTTCGCTTGCAAACATGCTCTGATTAACAAGTGTGAAGATCTAGGATCGAGCTCAGAAAAGAGAGTTTGAATTGAATGATTCACCTAGGTACAACACGAGGCTATATATAGTCTCGACACAAGGCCAGTTACCCAGGTGTTACGCGAATGTTCTGAGGGTCGCGAAGCGCCCCGAACAGATTCTTCCCGAACTCAGTAGAAAGCGATTCGGTGGAAACCGAATAGGCTTGAGTTCAGTACATGTAACCTGGTTCGATGCTACAACTATAATATAATATAGGAATGCACCTAACCTAGGAAATCAAGCATATCTATGCATGATAAAATAAACCCAAGCTAGATATACGTAATAAAGGCTAAGCAAGCTAGCAAAGCCAGCATAAGCTGTCGTACTCTTACAGACAAGCTCAGCAACTAAGGCAGACGCAGCAGTGGACTCAAAGGAAGGGTCAGTGACAATAGTGGCCAGGAGACGCATGACAGTAGGACTAGCAGCACGAAGGGAGTCAGACGCCGGGTCAGCAAGGGCAGGAAGAGAGGACGCAGGAGGAGACGGCAGAGGGATACGCTGGGGAGCAGTGGAAGGATGCAGAGCCATCTTGTGCGTGCCAAGGACAGGAAGAGGACGCTGACGCGAACCACGACGACCAGTGCGAGCAGCACGAACAGGCGACGCAGGACGAGACTCAGGCTCACGACGCTCCGTAAGACCTCCGGTCGGACCAGTGTAAGGAGAAGGAGCAGGCAGTGGGGAGGCGGGCTGTAACTGTGACTGCGGCTGGACAGGCGGTGGACACTCTAAGGAAGGAGCAGGACCAGTAGAAGGTGGGAGACCAAGAACCTGCTGAAGGAGCGGAACGAAGTACGGACGCGGCCGCGCAGCGCCTCCAGAACCAGCAGAGATAGCACCAGCACCCCCAGCGTTAGCTCCTACTCCAGCAGCACCACTAGCTCCAGCACCTCCAGCAGCTCCAGGAGCGCCAACTCCAGCACCCCCAGGAGTACCAGCTCCAGCAGCACCTCCAGCTCCAGCACCTCCAGCAGCTCCAGCTCCAGCACAACCACCAGAAGCCCTAGCAGCTCCAGTAGCGCCAGCTCTAGTACCTCCAGCAGCACGTGCTCCAGCAGCACCGCCAGCTCCAGCACCTCCAGCAGCTCCAGCTCCAGTAGCACCACCAGGCCCAGCAGCTCCAGTACCTCCAGTACGAGCACCTCCGGGACCAGTGACTCGAGAACCCCCAGCAGCTCCAGTAGCAGCAGGACCTCCAGCGCCCGTAGCACCACCAGCTCCAGCAGCACGGCTCCAACGCTGAGCAAACCACTCGCGCAGCTGCTGTGGAGAGAGTGGCTCCCGCTGGGACAAAGCACACGAAGGACCTCCAGGCTCAGCACCTCCAGACTCCACACGCGCAGGCTCAGCACCCTCAGGCTCCGCACCCCCAGACTTAGCAAACCCAGGCGCAGCACCCTCACGCTCCGCACCCCCAGACTCAGCACCCCCAGGCTCCGCACGCTCAGGCTTAGCACCCCCAGACCCGGCACCCACAGGCTCAGCACCCCTAGCAGCACCATAGTCAACAGCTACCTCGACAGGCTCGATTGCGTCTACCTGAGACACACCTGAGGGGGCAGGACCCTGAGGGGGGAGGGGGTCTACCGGGGGAGGACCTGGCGCAAGGAAGAGCGGCAAGGGGGGGAGGGGGGCAGTGCGGTAGGGGAAGAGACGGTAGTAAGGAACCGACTTGTCAAACGTGACGTCCTGAGAGGACAGAACACGACGCGAGGTGGGGTGGTAAAACTGCCAACCAGGCGCGTCAGGGGGGAAGTTAAGGAAGATGCAGGGAACAGCACGGGAGAACAGCTTGTCCGCAGACAAGTCGCGGACGAAAGCTCGAGATCCCCAGACACGGAACGCAGACGCATCGCCAACCTTCCCCGTCCACCGCAGAGTAGGTGTGGTCTCCGGCATGGAGACCCGGGGCTGGAGGTTGAGCTGATGCGCAGCGTACTGAACCGCGAACGGCCACAGAAAATGGGGAGCAGCCGCATGGATCATGGACGTACGAGCGACGTCCATGACCATGCCAATGCGGCGCTCAGCAATCCCATTTTGCTGTGGAGAGGCCGGAAGCGTGAACGTCTAGCGGATGCCCTCCGCACGACAGAAGGCCCTCAGAAGGTCAGAGGAAAACTCTCCACCTCTGTCGGAGTGCAGACGCAGAACAGAGGTCCGAGCCAAAACTCTCGCTGAGCTGGCGACGGGCTGCGCGGATCCAGTCGATCAGCACCTCAGTGACTCACCCTTGCGGCGCAAGGGGAAGACTGTGGTGTAACGCGAGTATTCTTCAACGACCAGCAGAAAGTAGCGCTCGTGACCCTATCCACGGATGCAGGCTGGGCCCCACACGTCCATGTGAAGAGTCTGCAGGGGAGCCTCTGTCGGAGGGAACTCGGAGGACTGAGGAGCGGCGCGCTGCCGCCCCTCTACGCAAGGAACGTAGGTAGGGGCAGGCCCCGGGGGGAGGGGAGGGAGAGACCGGGGAAGACCAGTGACAAGCACACGGGAGGCCATACCTCGGAGACGAGGCAGGGAGGGGTGACCAAGGCAGTGGTGCCAGAAGAGAGTCTGGTGAGACAGGAGGCGACACGAGCAGGGGGCAGACTCAGGACCAGACCAGGACACTGCAGCAAACACCTGACCCGACGCAGCGACCTGACCAGACTCAGCAATCGGAGGAGACACGGTAGTTAGTGTGTACAGGCTCGACCCGGGCTGCCGGGTGAACGTGGCCAGGTGCCGGCCCGTCCGTGTGCACGTACAATGGGTCACCCGCTGACCTCTAGGAGTGAACTGGTCAACCCACAAGTCCTGAAGGTCAGCTCCACTCACCATGTTCATAGAGAACGAGGGGAGGTGAAGACCCGACAGTGAGCCATACGGGACCGCCGGACACGGCAGAACCGTAGAGGAGTGCGCAAGGACTGGACCCCCAGAGGGGTCAGCCAGGGATAAACAACAAGGGTCTCGATAACATGTTTGGAAAAAAAAAAACGGGTACGGTCACTGCAAAGGGTGTTTTCACGTGTGTGATAACACGTTTCATGGAATCAGTCACAATCAACTAGGAAAAAATAACGCGAATGGTAACAGATGAAACTCCCGCCCAAAATAGATAATACCAAAAACGAACCTGGATGCATTTTCGGATGAATCAATCCTAAACACAATTCGCCAGGTGTTTAGGGTTGATCCGTTCCCAAACCGCATCCGATTCCGATTGGGTTTTAGTTTTTTTTAGAAGTTAGCTGATTGGTTCGGCGCGAGCGGGAATTTTGTAAAGTTTCAAGAGTTTTTGGCGGGAGTTACATGTGTGACCATTCGCGTGATTTTTCACCTGTTGTGAGTTACTGAATCCGTGACCCCACTTACCAAACCCGTCAGCAAACCCGATAGACTGACCGTACGCGTTTTTTTTTTACCACTCACGTTATCGAGTCCCATGTTCGTTACTTGTGACATATTTTCCCCACTTTTGTTGGATGAGTTTACGAATATTCGTAAACGCAACACAACCCAGAACCAGATATTCGTAAACGCAACGTTACTGTACGTTTTGGGTTCTGGGTTGTGTTGCGTTTACGAATATTCGTAAACCCACAACCCACTTTTATTGTTCTGGGTTGTGTTGCGTTTACGAATATCTGGTTCCTATGAAACCCTTCGACGGTCAACGTGAGTCTTGTTTGGATTGAAGGTGTTTCCGTGTCGCCGTCTCTGACAACAGTAGCCTCACAAAAGGGAATAGCGGAATCACAGTAGGGAATAGTGGCATGGAGTCCGCGCTGGTTCTCGCGGGCCAGAGAGGGCCGGACGGAGCGATTTCCCACCTTCCCGCGCTCGCCGCCCTCAGGGTGGTAGTACTATCGCACGTGCTGCACAGCTGCGAGCTCCTCGCCGCGTCATCACGCAGCTCGCACACGCTACCCCCGCGCCTCGCGTTAGAAGCTTCACCCGCCACGCCCGATTGCGGCTCGCCATGCGGACCTTCGTCGGAGCGCACCGGCCACTGCGGCTGCTTCCCGACCCCCGCACGCCCGCGCCACTCTCCTCCTCCTCCTCCTTCTCCCTTTCCGCCTGTTTGATCGCCCACCGCCTGGCGCGCAAGCATCTCGGCGCATCTGCGCGCGCGCTGCCGTGCCCGCGCGCCACTCCGCCGCCCCGTTGTCTGCCGAACCATCAGCCCTTGGCGTCCAGACCGCCCTCGCCCCGACCCCCCTGCCAGCGACCACTCGCTCTTCCGCACGGCGCCCCTGCCCGCCGCCTTCCACGCTCTCCGCAACGCCTCGCACCGCCTGCCGCTGACCCACATCGCCCCGCGTCCGTCCTTCCGCCTGCCCGCCGTTGCCTTCTCCGCGTCGGCGGCACCGCCAGAGCCGGGGTGGGCTGCGGGGGGCGGAGGCGGAGGAAGGGGAGGAGAGAGAGAGGGGGAGGAAGTGGAGGAGGGGAGGAGGGGGAAGAGGGGGAGGAGGGGGAGGAGGGGGAGCGCGAGGGGATGGAGTACGACGTGGTGGTGGTTGGCGGGGCTGGCGGCCGCGACTGGGCTGAAGCATGTGGCTGTCCGTCGGTGTGTGCGGTGGAGAAGGGCGCGCAGGCAGCAGGTGCACGTCAAGAGCTCTTGACGACACGCTGTCTGAGGAGCTCGATCACTGGCCTGCGCACCGTAGGAGCGCGTGCTGCCAATGCAGACAGCTGGAACGCGAGTTGTGACGCGCCATGCATGTGGCGCCGTGTGTCTCTGTCTGGCGAAAATGAGCCTGTAACATCGCGGAGAGGATAAGCGGTCCAATGATGCCACAACGATTGGCGTTGACACACCTCTTTGTGCCACTACCACGCCTACTCTTATCCATCACCTCCCTGTACTCCCCTAAACTCCCCTCCGTCCCCCGTTTCCCCTCCACCTGGAAATGCCACCTGGCGGTGTTGCGTGTTCCCACCTTGGACCGTAGGCGCACACACCCTGTCCCACCTTGGACCGTAGGCGCGCACACCCTGTCCCACCTTGGACCGTGTTTGAGCCGCGTGCGCACACCCTGTCCCACCTTGGACGAGCTGCTGCCGCACTGGCAGGTGGGGTTGGGTGGATTGGAGGGGAGGTAAATGAGGGAGAGGGGGAGGAAGAGGGGGGAGGGGGGGTAGGTGGGGGTGGGTGGGTAGACGGGGGTAAAGTAGACGGGAGGTATGGGTGGTAAGAGCAGGGGGAAGTGGAGGTAGGGGTTGGAGGGGAGGTGAATGAGGGAGAAGTAAGGCAGAGAGGGGCGGGTCAGGGAAGAGGAAATGGATGATGTGAGGGCAGGAGCGGTTTAGGACGTGTGACCCCCCCCCCCCCCCCCCCCCCCCCCCCCCCCCTTTTTACCATTTCCCCCACTCTCCCGCCTGTCACCTCTTCCCCGTCCCTCCCCACATGGCACTTTCCCCCCCGCCGCTTGTGGCAGGCGCCCATCAGCGTGGCGGTGACGCGTGATCGCTTCATGCACCTCATTAAGTCCCTGCCCGTGCCACTGCCACCGCCTTCCTCCAACCACGGCAACTGCGTCATCAGGTCTGCCTGTCTGCCGCCCGCGCCTCATGCCACCCTCTCTCGCCCCACATGTGCACACCCATCCCTGCTTGCACCAGACCCCCTTGCACCAACCCCCCTTGCACCAAGTACCGCTCACCTCCTACCATGCTCCCTGTCCCTCCTCTCGCCTGTAAGACCTGAGCTTGAACTGATGAATTAGTAATGAACTCAAGGCTCTTTAAGTACATGGGAAATGAGCTAGGAATGGATGCGGAGGGAATCGGGGGTGATTTCTAGGGGATCGGAGGCAATCCCAAGACAATCTCCAATTGTTGGGTTGGATTTTGCTTGGTGATCACATTTGGGTTGGTTGGGAAATGGGTGTACACCCATCCAAACACCAAGTGCAAACTACACTAGCCTAGAATACAAAAGTACAAATACAACAGTTGAGATTGAGAGCTAACTCTAACATCGCCAACCATGTCTCCCTCACCTGGTACTCACCCACAGCCCCCCCTCTTCCTTCTCTCTCCCCACCTCTCTCATAATTCTCCTTGCCTCCCCCTCACGTTTCTCCTTTGTGTGTGTGGGTGTGTGTGTGTGCGTGTGTGGGTGGTGTGGGGGTGTGTGTGTGGGTGTACACCCAACCAAACACCAAGTGCAAACTACACTAGCCTAGAATACAAAAGTACAAATACAACAGTTGAGATTGAGAGCTAACTCTAACATCGCCAACCATGTCTCCCTCACCTGGTACTCACCCACGGCCCCCCCTCTTCTTCCTTCTCTCCCCACCTCTCTCGTAATTCTCCTCTCCTCTCCCTCACGTTTCTCCTTTGTGTGTGTGTGTGTGTGGGGGGGGGGTGTGTGTGTGTGTGTGTGTGTGTGTGCATGTGTGTGGTGGCAGTCTGAGCGAGCTAGTGCGGTGGATGGCGGGCAGGGCGGAGGACATGGACGGAGATCTACCCGGGAGGGCTTCGCTGCCAGCAAGGTGCGCGCTTAGGGAAGAGGGGAAGGGGGAAGGAAGGGCGAGGGAAGAGGGAGGGAAGAGGGAGGGAAGTTGGAGGGGAGAGGGAGGGAAGTTGGAGGGGAGAGGTGCAAGGGGGGAGGGGGGAGGGAGGAGAGAGGGAGAACGGGAGGGAGGGAAGAGAAAAGGGGCATGATGTGGAATGTGGGTGCTTACATCACGGCAGGGAGTCATGGGAAGGCAGGGAGTCGTGAAAGCGGATTCTGTATAAAAACATGCAACCATGCTCTGTGCCCCACCATGCCCCCTCCACCCCCTCCTCCTCCCCACTCCCAACAAGCCGTCCCCCCTTCCTTTTCACTTCCCTACTTTTCTCATCCAAACTAGCCCATCCTTCTTGTTCCTTTCTGCCGCAATTCGAATCAACTTCCACTCCGTGTTTCACTCTTAATGCAAATTGATGCCTGCCGAATGTTGTGATCGCTTTCTCTACAATCATTTCAAACCAAGTCCAAGAATGTTATGCAATGTGGCTGTGGGCTTTGAGTGCGAATTCTAGTGCCAATGTGTATGCGGCATACTACTGCTGCATGGCAGGTGCTGTACTCTCAACACATAATTGTCACGATCAGAGGCGGGTGAGTGGCATTGCCACGGGATAGCCAAGGACGGCTCGCCCAAAGGCTCCTTGCCTTAGAGCAAGTGAGAGAAGACATATGCGTCTCAAGTAGGCTTGAGCACGAGGGCGAACACCATGTTCGAGGCAAACCGAACAATTTATGTTTTTGGCCGAAAGTGTTCGGGTCGAACACTTTCGTGTTCGTGTTCGTCTAAGGGCAGCTCTTTGAGCTCAAACTTAGTCGATCTTCTCTCCCACAGCCCTTACTTCCACCACCACCAGCAGCACTAAGCACCATCTTTCTCAACCCACTTAGGGTAGCGAAATTAGTAGCTCTTCTTTAGCCTAGACTAAGGATGGCGCCACACACCCACCATGTTCAGATATACCTTCCTGACTGCTCGTATCCAACATCCCCATACCGTGACTAGGCTTGAGCAAGAGGCGAACACGAACGTCTTCGCATTCGTCCCTGCACGAACACCGCCGTTCAGCGAATCAAACACTGTTCGGTTGGCCGAACAGCTTTAGCAAAAAAAACGGTGTTGGCTGTTTGCCAGTGAAGGCGAACACCGTTTGCTGACGCAGGCGAACACGAACGTGTTCGGCCCGAGGACATCATTCTTTATAATCACATCAGAGGGATTGTGAATTTGGGCAAAATGAATGTTGGATAGGCAGCTTTGTAGTGTTATTGCGCCAATACTGCCAAGGGCGCCTAGACTAGACTAACCTAAGTAGACTTACTATTTTCGCTGAGTCCTATCAGAAGAGGTGTAAATGGCGTGATGTGTGGGATTACTCAATACTAGCAAAGTACTATACGAAGAGAAAGATGTTTTAGGCACTCTGCATTCGTTGTGCTTCACCCGTTGTGCGACAGCTAAGCTCCTCCATGCCCCCATGCCGTGTCGTCATGGCAGGCCGTCTCACTATTCTGATCAAAAGCTGCAGAGGTTCGCTGTCAGAGGTGAGGTGAGGGATGCCTTGGTCGCTCTGCTGCTCCCTGTGCTGATTTCCTGCGGCCCTCTGCATGTCAATTTGCACCGTGCTGCTCTCATCTCACCCACTGCCCCTCCACTGCCGTAACCTACTCAGTGCACCTCGCCTCCTCTTTCCTCTGCTGCCCATCACCCGTCCCAACTTCCTCCCTCGTCTCGCACCCCCTTACCTTACCTCACACACACTGCCATGCCATGTTCCGCCCCTCTCTCAATGCTTCCTCTCTCACGTCCTCTTCTCTTCCCTCCCCACCGCCCACTGCTCTCTCCACTGCCCATCCCTCTACCCCCTGCACTGCCACTGCCCATCCCTCTCTTGTGTGGGAGGTGATGGCGGCATGCTCACTGCGTCTCAAGGTGGGCGCACAGCACCAGACACACGTGTCGGGGGTCAAGGGGGTGAGCGGCTCTGCCAGTGGGTAGCCGACAAGGGAGCGTGGCCACGGCAGATGGGTCTGGGGCCCTAGCAGGGTGCAGGTCCGGCAGGTGAAGCGGAGTGGCGGCAGAGTCAAGGAAGCTGCGGCACCCAGGGCCGGTGATGCCCAGGCTGCTGAAGGTGGTGGAGGGGGAGGCATGGTTGCTTGTAAATTGTAATAGAGCGATGTTGTTGAGCAGTGGCACGAGGCAGGGTTAGCCGGGGAGGCTAATGTCCACACCATTTGGACCGAAGCGCATGTGTGGCGTGGTGGCATGGTGAGAGGCGTGCTGGTCGAGGTGACGAGTGAGGCGGGCATACACTGAGTGAGGTCCGCACAGAGCTCCAGCGATCATGCATGGTCGGGGTGACGCAAGCTTGGTATTGTCCATTGTGTGTGCCCCCCCTGTGCATATCCACGTGGTTGCCATCCCTGCACCACCTCTCTCCCTCCTGTCATCGCTGGTTTGGTGCATTTACGCGAGAGAGATGGTGGAGTTAGCATGCTGGGAGTAAGAAGGCGTGGCGGCACGGCAGGCAGGTCTTTGGCATGAAGCTCGGTGGATATGGTTGTGGCGAGGGGATCCACTTGAGATGTGTGCCTTGGATGGGTTGTGCCGCATGTGTGTGGCCTGTGTGTGGCATGTGTGTGTGTGGCATGAGTGTGTGTGGGATGTGTGTGTGTGGCATGTGTGTGTGTGGCATGTGTGTGTGTGGCATGTATGTGTGTGGCATGTATGTGTGTGGCATGTATGTATGAGGCATGTGTGTGTGGCTTTTATGTATGTGGCATGTATGTATGTGGCATGTGTATGTGTGGCATGTGTGTGTGGCATGTGTGTGTGTGGCATGTGTGTGTGTGGCATGTGTGTGTGTGGCATGTGTGTGTGTGGCATGTGTGTGTGTGGCATGTGTGTGTGTGGCATGTGTGTGTGGCATGTGTGTGTGTGGCATGTGTATGTGTGGCATGTATGTGTGGCATGTGTGTAGTGACCCACCACCGCACACCCCGCACTTCACTTGTACCCCTGTCCTGCCTCTTTCTTCCCTCCTCTCCTCTCCCATGCATACTGTTCTACCTTCCACTTTCCGTTATCCCCACTTTGCTCCCTACCCCCCCTTAGCATGGCATGTTTTCCTCCTCCCACCACCCCATACCACACACCCTCCTGCAGAGTTGGAAGCTCCATCCGTCCATCCGGCGGGTTCTGGAGGGGGGCAGAGTGGTGCAGTACGGTGCGCGATAAAGAGACACTCGTTAAGGTGACAAGGGAAGGAGGGAAGGTGGGGAGAGGGGGAGGTTGGGACATGGTTGAGGGGATTTGGCTGTGAAGGGGAGATGAGGAGAGGGAGGTGGAAGCTAGGTTCATGTTACGACGTCACAGTCTGTTGTCATGTTACTGTCTGTAGGATTGCGGCACAGGAGGTGGGCTAGTGGGGATGATTACCCACGTCCGCATTTTTGTGACTCGTGAGCATTGAATGCCTTAGTGGCTGCATGTATGTGTCTACGCTATGGCAGATAGAGATGGGGTTGCCACGTTGCTACCACATCTATCCACAGGCACGCTGCTCGCACCCGTGCCATATAGCCTGCCATCCCAATCCATGCCATGCCTCCTGCTCCCTACCTCGTTTTCTCGTCCGTGTGCCATCACCATCACATTCCCGTATTCGTTGCTCTCCCTCTCTACCACGCCTTCCTTCACTCTTTCTCGTTCTTTGTCCCTCGTTAACCCCTCTCCTCGCTCCCGCATCCCTCCTCACTCTGCCCGCTTTCACCCTCATCCCTTTTCCCCGGATCCCTTTTCCTGATCTCGCAAATCCCTTTCCCCCTCTCTTTAACCCTTCTTTATCGCCCTCCCAAACCCCTTTCACACTCCCTTCAATCCCTTTCGTGCTCTTGCTAACGCCTTTCCGACTTCCGTAAACCCCTTTCTTGAACTCCCAACCCCCTTTACCCCTCTCCCAACCCTGTTCCGCACTACCTTCAAGCAGGAGCAGCACGAGCCACGAGCAGGACCAGCTGCTGCTTCTGTGGCTGAGGGACACCGCAGCGCAGTGCCTGAAGTGCGCCGCTGCCCAGCCCGCCTCTATGAGTGAGAGCCCTGGGGGCGGAGGGAAGGGGTGGGGGGATGTGGCGGAAGGGTGTTGGGGGAAAGTGCGGGAGGGAAAGGGCTTGGGGTAGAAGAGGAGGGGGCAGGCCAGGGAAAAAGGGTGTAGGTAGGGAGGGCAGGGAGCCGGCTTGGTTGGTGTCTGAGGTTGGAAAGTGGGGAGTGGCGTGTGGGAGCACGAAGTGTTGGGAGGTGGAAGGCGAGGAGCAAGGGGCGGAGAGACTTGAATGCAGTGAGGTTTTCATGGCACACAGTGGATTGTGGATGGGGTGGGGAGGGCAGGATAGGTGGGCGTTTGTGATGTGTGATGCTGGCCTCGGCATGAGAGGTTATGCCTCCTCGCGCAGTGGTGGCAGCACTAGGGACAGCGCAGAACATGGCATAAGTGAGTGCAGTGCAGCCTGTACTCAACTCGTGTGTGTGTCGGTGGCCGCTTGTTATTGCCATGCTGCTGCGTGTGCATGGCAGGTACGTGGAGGGATACAAGGGGTTGCCATCGCTCAGCATCATGCACAGAACTGCCTGCATTGCAAGGTGTGCATCGTAGCATTGCAACACATCTATTGCCGCGCTCCCTCTCTCTCTCTCTCAAGCGGTCCGTGTATTAGATCCGAGCAAGGTACAGACATGCACAAGGTTATAAGAAGCAATGCACCTCAGCCTCTAAAACCCTCATATCCTACCTACTCTCGTTCACCCTCTAAGGCAGCTCCAATGCAGGCTCCAGGATGGCAAGGCAGTCCCCGAGGGACATGCCTTCGCCCGGCAGTACCACAGGTGGGTTCTCCACCTTCCTTGTGGGTTCTCCACCTGAAAGCCGCGAGAGAGAGAGAGAGAGAGAGAGAGAGAGAGAGAGAGAGAGAGAGAGAGAGAGAGAGAGAGAGAGAGAGAGAGACGACGTAACCTTCCTTGTGAGGGTTCCCTGAAAGCCGCGTCCGCCGCCAAGGCCTCATTGGTCTTGGTGCGGAGGGCATTGGCCTGCGCCCGCTGGAGGCACACGCTCCAGCGCTGGCGGTACTCCGTCAGCAGCTTCGCTGCTTCGTAGGAGGTAGGTGCTGCGTTAAAACGCAGCTTTGCCGCCAGCTCCGCGCATTGCCGCAGGTAAGCCATCACCCCTGGCGAGGGGTAGCCGTAAGTTTCTACTGCAAGCGCGTGGAACCCCACCCACGCGTTCCGGCGAGCGTACTTCTCCTCCTTTTTTGCTGCTGCCGCCCTAGCCGCCCATCCAGGAGCTCGGTTGCACTTCTCGTCCTGGTATGACACCGGGTCCGTCACGGTCACGTCGCACATCCAAACCTCTCCAGTCAGGGGATGACGGATGGTGACATCCGCCTTTAGATTTTCAACCAGAGAGTAGACATATGTCTCCTTGTGAACCGTAAACCCCGCCTCGGCCCCTATGTTTGCTATCTCATCCCGCAGGGCGTGATGGGTAGCGGTCCTCCCTTTCCCCTTCTCGCAGCGCATGAGGTGGTTGGGGAGGCGGTCGTCGGGGAAGGTGGTGCGGTAGCGGCAGTCACAGCGTCTAGGCACGGGGAGGGGGAGGCCTAGGCGGAAGGCAGCTGCAGTTGAGAGCTGGGACGGGCCCATCCGGAGCGAGGGGATGAGCGGGATCGCCAGCAGCCAGTCCCCCGCGCCTGGGCCTAGCACCGACTGCATCCGTTGCGCGTGGCCAGAACGGGGGTTGGGGCGGATCCGCCTCGCCTCGCGCATGACTCTCAGGAAGCGGCGGGAGTGAACCGCCAGTGCTAGGCTCTGCTGCAGCTTCAGTCCCTTGGGGTCCGCCTTCCCGTCCTGAAGCACCTCGAGAGCCTCAGGGGGGAGGGCTGCCTCAGCCGCAGCGAGGCGTGCTGGCAGCGCGTGCGGGGAGCCGTGGGTCGGATCCAGTAAGGGGAGGAGCGCGGCGACAGCAGGGTGCAACGAGTCCTCCAGGGAGTGCAGGAGGTGGGCAGCGCTGATCACTGAGGCGAGGTAGGCGTAGCTGCCTTCGACGGCGGGGTCAGTGATGCCCAGACCTCCCAGCGTCACTGGCAGAGCCGCCTGCCGTCAAATCCTCCGTCTCTCCCTGGCACTCCTCGGGCTCATGATGTGGGCCGAATCCAGGAAGGTGTGTAGAAGCCGTTCCCCCCAAGCAGACCATTCCGCTTCAGGAAGAGCCTCCAGGGGGGTGGTTCTGGCCATAAAGGACGCTCGGCGGCTGACACAGCGGGTGAGGAGGAGACTAAGCTGGGGATCCATCTGGGCCAGCAGGGGGAGTGGGGCAGCTGCTGCTGCCAATCTCTCTCTCACAGCGCCTGCGCAGCCCCGGGGTGTGCCGACGGGGCTGCCGAGAATCTGCAATCCCTCTTCAGAGATAGTAATGCCTGGAGGGACTGAGGAGGGGTCGATTGCTGCGGCGGACCACGCTGCGCACTTGGCCGGGTTGTGTACCAGGCCGAGGGCGGCCAGTGCGGATGTGAGGTGGTCAAAAGCCGCTGTGCAGGCCGTGGCGTCGCGGAGCAGCGTGATGTCATCGGCGTACGCCAGCAGGACCACCTGAGGGTGTGCAGCCGCCGTGTCAACGAGGCACGGGTGGATGCTTGCCGCGAACAGGAGGGGGCCGAGCGGGTCCCCTTGGCGAACTCCTCTGGCGCTCTGCAGCGGGGCTGCGCCAAAGTCGTGGTCGAGGTAGAGTGAGGAGGGAGCCCCATAGGATAGGCGGACGAGGGGGATCAGATCCTTCAGCGCCTCGTTTTTCAGTCCCTCGAACACCGCTCTCCTTTCGACCGCGTTGAACGCGTTCGCGAGGTCAATCTGCAGCGCCACTGCCTCAGGGTGGACTTCCAGGTACGTGCGAGCGGTGTGGATAGCCGCTTCGATCCCCCCTGCTACTGCTACTCCGAACTGAAGGGGGGCAAAGTGAGTACGAGCTGCCGGCGCGGTCAGAAATAGTGCGGCTTTTGCAATAATCCGGAGGAGACACTCTCCCACCGCGATCGGCCTCGTCCCTCCTTGAGGCTTCGTAAAGGCTAACAGGCGGGCTGCCGTTAGGAGTTCCCCTGCGACTGTGGGGAGTTTTCCTGCTAGAGCCGTGTTAGAGAGGGCGAGGAGGTGGGTGAGTACTTCGGCATTCCCTAGGGCTGCGTCGCGGATGTGCTCGAAGGTGGTTCCTGAGGGGCCGGCCCCGACTCCATTGGGGAGCTTGGCGATGAGACGCCTGAAGTCGCGGGCTTCGATAGTGGGCGGGTCTTCCGCCGTAACGGTGTGGAGCCAATCAGGGAGTAATTGGCAGGCAGATGGGTGTCTCGCCGTGAGGGCTTCCAACACTTCAGGTGAGGCGGGTGACACAGGAGTGGCCTGGAGGGATTGAAGTGATTTTGACAGGTTACCCCGTTTTGCCAGTCCTTCCGCCCTTGCCAGTATTCCAGTTGTGTCAGGTGCGTGGCGAGGTTGCGGAGGCAGGGAAATCGCCTGGACAGCTTCTTCGTATAGGTCGGCCCAGAACCCTTGGCGAAATCGCAGGAGCCGGTTCATCATCGCGCTCCAGTCAGGTTTACGGGCTGACGAGGTGCGAAGGAGTATGCGCGGGAGAAAGGTCAGTAACTTCCACCCTGGCGAGGACTCGGGATTGGCTGCCAGGTGGAGTAACGGTGTCAACATGCAGATCGCGAAGGAGTCGCGAAGGTCTTTGGGGGGGTGGCGGGCGAGAGGCGGTTGGCGACTGTCGCGCAACGGGTCCAGGTCCCAGTCTGCAACCTGAGCGAACAGGTCAGATTTTTTCGCCAGGTCGTCAGGTTTGAGCATCGGGGGGGTTGGAATTGGGGTTGCAGAATTTTCATTGGCTGCTGCAGAGTCAATTCCGTCTTCTGTCGCGGCTCGATTTCCCCCCCTTGCACGATTTCCCCCCGCGGTTCGGTTTCGACCTGTGGTTTGGTTTGCAGGGTCAAAATTTCTGCACCAACTGAACAATGGGATGAAGAGGCTCAGAAGGGCTTCCTATATAGCTCCTAAAGGAGAGGGCAGACGGCTAAAGGGAGAGGGCAGAGGCTAAGGTCCTCTCTCTCTCTCTCTCTCTCTCTCTCTCTCTCTCTCTCTCTCTCTCTCTCTCTCTCTCTCTCTCTCGCTCTCTCGAACGAACGAGCCAAAATTTCTGCACCAACTGAACTTTGTGATGAAGAGGCTCAGAAGGGCTTCCTATATAGCTCCTAAAGGAGAGGGCAGAGGGCTAAAGGGAGAGGGCAGAGGCTAAGGTCCTCTCTCTCTCTCTCTCTCTCTCTCTCTCTCTCTCTCTCTCTCTCTCTCTCTCTCTCTCTCCCTCTCTCTCTCTCTCTCTCTCTCTCTCAAGCGGTCCTTCATTGAAATTGTGCAAGGTACAGGCAGGGCATGATAAATTCAGCCATCCTAGCATGCAGTCTAGATATCAGGCTGGCCAGCAAGCACACATGCAATCAAGCAGCAACTTATAACAGCTATGCTAGCTGGCTTGGGTAGCCATGGCCTGCCGTGTGCCTAGCACCTAGGGACCGCTGCCTGGGGGCCCCCTTACTCCAGCCCCTCACTCCTCCAGGGCTGGCCCCCAGTCCAGGTCATCTTCGATGACTTGGCACAGGTCCCCCAGGCGGGGCGCCCATGGGTCAGCCGCCGCCTGTGGGTAGGCACTCTCTGTGGCCCGGTTAGACTTTGCCAGGAAGGTGTTCGCCTGGCTCCTCTGCAGCGCCACCGACCAGCGCTGGCGGTAGTGAGCTGTGAGTTTCGAGGCGACAGTGGTAAGCCTCCCCTGCCTAAATTTCTTTTTGGCCGCCTGTCTGCCTAATAGCCTAAGAAACCTTTGTGTGTCGCGTGCCAGGGCTCCATATGTTTCCTCCGCCAGCCCAAACACCCCCACAAAGTCCGGCCGCCCCTCATACATTCCTCTCTTGCTTCTAGCTGCATCCTCTGCCGCCCAGCCCGGCGGCTTCACTGCCCTGGTGTCGCGGCGCTGCAGGACGGGGTCGATCACTGTGACATCCATCACATACGTCTCGGCAGACTCCCTGTCCTTGATGGCTAGGTCTGCTCGCTTCGGGTTGATGGGTTGCGAGTAGACCGTGGTCTCGTACAAGGTAAGGTAGTCCGCCTCCCTGGCCATGCGGAGCGCTGCATACACGAGGTTGTTGTGTGTGTTTGTCCTCTCCTTCCCCTCCCCGCACCGCAGGAGGTGGTTCGGTAAGCTCAGGTCCCCGATCTCCCCCCGCTCTCCCTGGCACGGGCAGTTCTCCGTCACCGGCAGCGTCAGTCCCAAGCGGAACCCCAGGGCCAAAGCAAACTGTCCCGGCGAGAACGTCAGGTCTGCCCGCGTGGGGATTGCATGGAGCCAGTCCCCCGCGCCCACCCCCTGCAGGCTGATCAACCGGACCACGTGCCCATTGTCTTCCCCCGGCTTGTCCATCCGCGTGTCGCCCACCAGCTCCGCCGCCCGGTTCAGGTTGATATGGCGCGACAGTTGCTCCTGCAGGCGGCCCCCTCCTCCCCTGCTGACACCCGGCTCCCTTAGCAGCTCCCGTGCTTCCTCGGGGAGTCTGTTCCCCAGGTCCCGTATTGCTTCCCCTTCCCTTCCTGCCACTCCCTCCCCAAGTGGTGACACCAGCGACGCCACTTGCGAAAGCTGGTGGTTTGGCGAGGGCGGCATTTGCTGCAGCAGCATCTGTGCTGCCCTTAGTGATGCGAGGTATGCCGCCGGTGCCTCTGACAGTGGGTCTATCAGCCCCACACCGCCCAGCGCGATGGGTAGCGTCGCCTGCCTCCACACCAGGCTTTGTTCCAGCTCCTTAGAAGGTACGTTGATGTTGGCTGCCCTCAGTGCTGTCCACAGCAGCCTCTCGCTCCACCCCCGCCATTCCCGGACGGGGAGAATGTCCGCCGGCGTAGTGCGCAGGAGGTAGGAGATTCTGCGCGATATGCATCGCGACAGGAGCAGCATCGCGTGTTGAGGGTGGAGCTTGCTGACTAGGCTCAGCGGAAGGGCTATCCGCTCCAGCGATGCTCTAAGCGTGCCACAAAGGCAGTGGCAGTGGCAGTGCCTATAGTGAGTGCTGTAGACGTCTCATGGGTGGCGAAGTGGCAGGCAGCATCAATAACCGCAGCAGTACCACTGGGGTGGCCAAGGCAGGTGCTGCTGTTGCTGGTCTTGGAGCTGACACTGTGGCTGTTGAAAGAGCACCAGGGAGTGGTGACAGTTTCAGTGGCGCGGGTGGTGTGACGGGAAGGGGTGCTGCCAGTGGCAGTACAGGGTTGAACGGTGATGGTGGTGGTAACGATCGTGGGCTGTTCTTCTCATGGCAGGGACTAGCTGCGCCTGGGGCGGCAGTGAGTGGGGCGGCAGTGAGTGGGGCAGTGTTCATGCCTGGGTCAGGGTCGAAGCAGCAGGTGCAGGGGGGAGTGGCAGCAGTGCGGGGCGATAGCAGTAAAGGTGGTAGTGATGCAGCAGGTGTGGCTGGACCAGGTTGTCTGCGTGTGGAAGCGGGCGATTGGGGTAAGGGAGGTGACGGTAGGGAGGTCGGAGAGAAGGGAGCAGGTGAGGCGAGGGAGGAAGTGACCCGTGCAGAGGGATGTGCAGCGGACATGGCAGCGGATACCTGTGCACCCGCACATGTAAACAGAAGTGTTTTGAGACGTCTCAAAACACGTGTAAACAGAAGTGTTTTGAGACGTCTCAAAACACGTGTAAACAGAAGTGTTTTGAGTCGTCTCAAAACACGTGTAAACAGAAGTGTTTTGAGTCGTCTCAAAACACTTCTGTTTACACGTTGGATGTGCAGCGGACATGGCAGCGGATACCTGTGCACCAGCATCAGTAGCATCGGCCAGATGAGAATCGTCAGCAGCAGCACCAGGCGCAGCAGCAGCAGCAGCAGCAGCAGCAGCAGCAGCAGCAGCACCACCACCACCACCAGGCGCAGCAGCAGCAGCAGCACCAGGCGCAGCAGCAGCAGAGGGGTCATGTGGAGAAGCAGGGCAGTGCGGAGCACCGCTGGTGCATGTGGATGTGCGCTTTGCGTGCAGCCTGCACGTGTGCTACCCTCTGCTGCTCAATGCACTGTCACGGGCAGTGCAGGGGGTTGGGCTTGAGACTTTGCCCAGCTTGCAACCAGACTGGCTGAACGAGGGGAACAAGGGAATTGGCGGAAATCAGGGGGCCGAGGTACAGCAGCAGCAGCAGCAGGGTGGTGCATCACTGAAGTCTCCAGTGTGCATGTGCATGCCTCTGCTCGCCTGGACCGCTCACCCTGCAGGCTGCACCCTTCGCATGACGTCCCTGCTACTGCCAGCGGGACCCGCTTGGCAGGACACACTCTCAGCTGCTATCGCTGCTGGTGCTGTCGCTGCTGCAGAAGCTGCCTCTGCACAAGCCACAGCAAGGCTGGCTGAAGCTGGTGCAGCCCCAGGCACAGGAGGAGGAGAGGGGGGAGGTAGGGGGGCAGAGATGGATGTGGGAGAGGCAGCAGCTGGTGGCGCCAGCAGCACCACACGTGGCAGGCATGGCAGGAGCGGCAGCAGCAGCAGCAGGGGCGGTGGCGGTGGCAGTGGCAGCAGCCTACAACTGGGAGTGGGCATGGGAGGGATGCGTGGCTCTGCGTCCGCTCTCTCTCTCTCTTCCCTCTGGCGCTGGTCAGGGCAGCAAGGGAGCGGCAGGAGGGGCAGCAGCGGGGTGTGGTCGCCTCAAGGGGCGTATGAGACGCAGGGGGATGGCAGCACGGGCAGCACTTGCAGCGGGGGGAGCGGGCGTGGCGGATTCAGCTGGGGGAGAGGAGGGTTCTCAGTGTGGGAGGAGGAGGAAATGGGGGTCGAACGGAGAGAAAGGGGAGGAAATGCGTTGGAATCACAGAAAGAGGAGACACCTGCGGCAGCACCAGGAACTGGCACCGCGGGACGTGTGGAACCAAATTCGACTGACATGGCTGCTGCTGCCGCTGCCTGTGCAGCTGTTGCTGATGGTAATGCTGCTCCCGGCACTGCCCCCTCCACATATGGAGAACCTCCTGTTGCTGCTGCTGCAGGCACAGCAGCGTCCTCCAGTAGTGTACAGAGAAGGGCTCCACTGTCCTTCCTAGGCAGGGGCAGTTCCAGCTGGTCTTCCCGCACAGGCAATAGCAGCAATCATCAGCAGCAGCGTGAGCATCGGTAGCAGCAGCAGTAGAGCTTCAGTGGTAGCTGGGGTGTTGGAAGTACCAGCAGCAAAAGCTGTGGCAGTAGCAGCGGCAGTTGCAGCAGCAGCATTGGCGGCACTGGTGGCGCGAGCGAGTTTGCATCTGCAAGTGATAGCAAAAAGGGGGAGTGGGCCAAGGCGTCAGGAGATGCTGCAGACGTGGCAGCAGTGGCTGTGACAGCTGGAGCGGCAGCAGCATCAGCAGTCGCACTCCCAGAATCTGCTCTGGCAGTGTCCACATCCCCCTGTGTGCCTCAGGAACTGCCTGCATTAGCAATAAACACCCTGGTGGGTGACGGGGTAGTGGATACCAGACAGGGCCGTGTGGGCGATGTAGGTGTAGCGCCGGCAGGAGCTGTGGTGGGCGGGGGGCGTAGGTGTGAGGATAGCAAGAGGGAGGGCGGAGATGGGGATGCTTCTTCACTACAGTATGGGTGTAGTGAGAGTGGTGCTGTTGGTCCTGCAGGGTGGATGAGTGGTGGTGCAGGTGCAGGTGGGCAGGCTGGGAGTGGGAAGGGAGGGGAAAAGGGAGGGGGAGAGGTGGGGGTGGGGGTTCCAGGAGCAGTTAGGACGTCTGCAGATGCAGCCAAAGGGTTGAAATCAGCAGCGGTTGGAGCAGCAGCAGTGGGAGGAGCAGCAGTGCTTGGTGCATGTGATCCTGATGGGGGAAATGGAGCAATCCCGGGCAGGGAGGGCAACAGGAGCGAACTTGGTGAGTTTGCATCCATGGGCAAAGGCAACTATCTCAAATCCTTGTGTGGTGCTGATTCGTGTGACAGTGCACACACATGCTCACACACGACTCTGGCTGTCTGCACTCTCCCTGCTGCATGTGGCTCTTCCATTCTGCAACCGCACTGCACCTAGCTGCATCCCACTTCTCCTATTCGAGAGGCAGGAACATGTGTGGGGAGGAAAGGGATTGCCACAGGTTGCTTTCCTCCTGCTTGCTGCTCGTCTGCTGCTGTTGCTCTTGCGTCTGCTAATGCTGCTGCTGCAGCTGCAAATCACTGGCGCTATCACTCCCATGCCTTGCTGCTCTTACTACCGCTACTGCTGCTGCTTCGCTTGGTGCTGAGATCACAGGCGTGTCGAGCCCCAGCATCACTGGCAGCAGCGGTGACAGAGCTGCCGGCAGCAGCGGTGCAACAGCGCGGGCAGAGTTCCGGAGGGAAGTGATGGCGATGGTGTCGTGTGGGCAGCGGTGCCCGCAGCTGCTGCGCTTCTACGGCGTGTGTGTGGACGTGCGGCGCCGCATGTGCATCGTCACCAAGCTCATGCCGGGCGGCACTCTGCACGACCTGCTGAGGAGGCGCAACGGCGTGGGCCTGCCGCTGCCGCAGCTGCTGCGCGTGGCGATGGACATTGCGTTGGGGATGCGCTTCCTGCACCGCCATGGGATCACACCGGTGAGCGGGAGTGATGAATGGGCGTGAGTGGGGTGTGTGTGTGGTGGTCAGGAGAGGGGAGGGGGGGGATAAGTGGGCGGGTGTCTGGTCTTGGCTGGGGTCACTCGTAGTTTGCTCGGTCGAGTAATAGTTTGTTCTCTTGATCTTGTGGCTCCTGGCTCATCAATGGATTCTGTTCCCCCTCCCCACCCATTACACGTTCCAACCCACCTCATCCCAGCTTCCGCTTCCCCACTCTCTCCACTTCCCCTATCCTCCTTCCTCTCCACTCACACATCACCCAGTCCTACAACCAACCCTGCTATCTTCCACTCCCCTAACCCCTCTCCCTTTCTCCAGCGATCTCAAGACGGCCAATGTGTTACTGGACGAGCACGGGCGGGCAGTGGTGGGGGACTTTGGAGTGGCGCGGCTGGTGGGAGACGGAGCGGAGATGACCAAGGAGGTGGGCACATACCGCTGGATGGCCCCGGAGGCCTTCGGCACCACGGGGCACTGGTCCGTCACCCCTCGCAGCGACGTCTACAGCTTCGGGATTGTTCTATGGGAGCTGCTGACTGCGCGGTTACCCTACGAGGGTTACTCGCCGCTGCAGGCTGCAGTGGCGGTGGCGCTGAATGGGCTGCGGCCGGCGATACCAGCGGGGTGCCCTGAGGGGCTCAGGCGGCTGATTGAGGCGTGCTGGGCCAGGGACCCTGCAGAGAGGCCTGACTCAGAGGATGTGGTGCGCGTGGTGCGAGGATTGAGACGGGAGTTGCTGGGGGAAGAGAGTGTGGAGGACGAGGAGGAGACTAGTGGGGGGGATGGGGAGCAGGTTGTGAGTGGTAGGGAATGAATGCATGGCATGATGCGGAGGAGAGGAGGTTAGGAGCGAGAAGGCATCTGGGGAAGCAGAAGTACCATAAATGGGGAAGGCCGGTACATGGTAACCACAGTACCAGCTAGAGTGATCGAAGGGGCATCAAGTGACGCACAGTAGTTGATTTTCGTGGTTGTGAGTTGCTGTCAAAACTAGTCTCCTACTCCCACTGTGTGCCTGGTCTTGCTGTTGCTTTGCCCAGCTGTGGTGGACCTGTTTTTGAGTTGCTTCTTTCCAGGGGGGCTCTGATAATCGGAAATGCATGGCATAAGACCCGGAGTTAGGGCGTATTCCTATCCTTGTATCGTATCAAGAGAACCTCATATCAACCTCCCACTGAAAATTTCCCTAAACCCTAAACCTCTCGCTGGTTTTACCAAGCAAAAAGTACAATCTTGATATGAGGATCTCTTGATACGAGGAATACGCTCTTAGTTTTCGGGTGGTGGGGGGGTTCAACTGTCTGGCAAATACGGGTAGTAAATCTAAGTACGGGTTGTATGAAATGTTGCATTGGTGAAAGTGAGGCTTCAGATTTGCTTTGATGTTACTGACTGCACAACCACCACCATTCTGTACTAATGCATCGTCCTCCATTTTCGGTTCGATTCGAATATACCCCAGGGGTCTGATATGCAGTGAACTCTGCTATGTAGGGATCACTTCAAAATGACGATGGCACGCAAATAGACATCACTCCTACAGTACCAGAGCAAGACCTGCCATTGTAGTCGTAAAACAGTGTGATCGCCGTTGAGGTAGTTCCACCATAGAAGCGGTAAGCAGCTGAGCACGCCATTGACCGCTGGACAGGCTTGACCCTACCCTTCTTGCATAAACCCATCGTGAACGACCAATACTCTGCCCTGAGGCAAACCTGGGGTCATGGGATGGATGGGATCGAGGTTCATGAATCAGTAAGGGTGTCAGAGACACCAAAGAGATTAACAGGGAATGCACAATGAAGGCAGCGGCAATAAGGCACATACTTTTTCAGAAGCTCTGCAAAGCGCACCTACTTCTGTCCACCTATTCCTTGCTCCCCCCATCCCCAAGGCCGCTAACCCCAGCCCTTACAGTCCTCACCTGCACACCAATGTTGCTGCCGATAGCGGAGGCAGAGGAAGGGATGGTGGCGGAGCAAGTGAGGCCGGGATTGTTGCGGTACAGCGCAGCCCACGCATCCCCAATTGCACCCCCTTGTGAAGTGCCGGTCCTCTGAAGCAGCCGGTCGCACGTGTCTTGAGGTGTGAGTGTGCCGTATCTCACACACTCAGGCACGGTGAATGCGAAGGCAGCACTGCGCTCGATGCACACGGAGCGGCCCGCCTTGATGGGCTTGGAGCAGTCAAGGCCGGGGTTGAGCTCAGCGAGACTTGCCTCATTAAGGCTGAGCGCTGGGGTGATGGATGCACAGGTGTCCCCCTGGATGGTTGGAGAGAGGCAGGCAAAAGTGAGACTTGATGCTTGCGATGTGCTGAGTCGGCCATGCAAGCTGGTTGCGTGCATGGTGCGGTGTGGGCAAGAAAGCAAGAGGAGCAGGTCTCACATTGAGGGAGTAGAAGAAGGCAGTGCAGGGTGTGGCAGGAGTACCATCCAGCTGAAGGACACTGCCCTTGGGCAATGGCTGGCTGCAGTCAATGCCCTGCATTGGAGACAAGTGCACGTTTTTGAGGTTTGAACCAAACCCCACACAAGCAAGGCTTCCACTTCTCAGTGAGTCCTGGAGAGTAAGTACATCCTTCACAGTTTAGTATCTGATCCTTAAGAACGAACCGGCAGTGCAGTGATAACTCATTGGTACAGTAAAGCAAGATTTAACAGATGAAGTGATGTGAAAACAAGCTGAAATCGAATGTTCAATCAGAACGCTGAATGAAGGTTTGTAACTCCCACCACCCGTTCCACCCACCGCGTTTTGGTCAGCGAAGTCAGTCAGTGAGAGGCCAACAAGCGGATGAACATCAGAGCACCACCAGTTGTCACCACTGACTGTCATTGTGGTGGATGTGGTATTAGCTGCAGGCAGAATTGAGAGTGAAACAGAGGCAAGGAAAGAGAGCGCCACATTGAAGTTTTAAAAGAAGCGGAACAAGATTAGAGAAATGAAAGTTGCAAGTTTCACAAAAAAGTGGAGGTTACCAAGAAAAAAATCAATGAAAACGAGACCAATGGATAGGGTTGAGCATGGGCCGGGCCGGGCCTGGCCCAGGTCGGGCCAGGCCGGGCCCATGGAAAAAGCGGGCCGGGCCAGGCCCGGCCCGACCCAGGCCGAATGAGCAAGAACCTGGCCCGGTCCCGCCCATTTTGTACTCGGGCCAGGGTGGCCCGACTCGGGCCGTGCAAGGCCCGACCCGGGCCGGGCCTGGCCCGGCTTGGGTGAAATTTCGTTATAGGTAAATGGTGTTTTGGGCCTGTTGTAGGGAGCAAAACAAGTCCAGGGCCCAACCGGGCCGGCCCGGCCCACCCCGAAACGGGGGGGCCAAAAGCGGGCCGCCCGCGGGCCGACAGCCAAATTTCGAGGCCCGGCCCGAAGCAATTCCGGGCCGGCCCGACCCGGGCCAGGCCCAGCCCATTTTTTTGCTCAACCCTACCATTGGAGAAATTCAAGCCACCTACTTGGATCGCAGGTGGGGAAACCATCAACTGTTGTGCTGAGAACGTGGTTGGGCGGACAGATGCAGGAGTAGGAGCCCTTGCCATCGTTGATGCATGCTCCCACGTAGCAGGGGTTCTTGAAGTATGACCCACACACGTCCACTGCCAGACGTGTTCCGGGGTGGCGGATAAGACAGAGAGTTGAGAGAAACATGGCAATAAACAGAGAGCGAGGGAGAATGTGGTTAGAGAAGAAGGGGCATATGGTCTGCAGACTCCTAGCCAGATGCCAACCAAACCTCTCGCCACTGCAGCTGAGGAACCTCTAACACAGATCGAACACAGGCGGGAGTATGTAGAGCACAGGAGTCCTAGGAGACGCTTGTTTCTCACCTCAGTGTCCTCACTCCCTGTGACACAAACCTGCATAACTTCTGCACGTTACAATAGCGCAACATACTTCAGTGTACGACCAAATTACATGCCCTCCTACTCACCCTTTGACTTGCCACTGATCTTACCATAAGCACAAGTGGAACCAATTCCATTTGCAACCTCCACAAAAGGCTGCACAGTCGAGGTGGGAATGTTGCAGGTGCAGTTATTGCTGCTTGCTGCTGTCCCCTGGCACTGGAACCGGCCGCACGGGTTCATGCTGGGCTGCGAATCCCCATCGCCCTTGTAGCTGATTTGCCCGCAGGGGTCCCCTGGAACTGGAATGAAATGCGTTAAAGAGAAGACACTTGAAGTACAGAGCTCATGACACTTTAAGGATGGAGTTTGGAGGAGGACTACAGAGGTCATGCCACAATATTGAGCACCACTATAGATAAGCACCACTCAGTGGTAATGTGCTTACCAAGCTTGACACTATGATGGACCACCACTAGCGGAAGAATTTTCAGCTTTCAGCTTGTACGCAGAGCATATCTAAATGTTTTGTAATACTTTGCGAGTGCTATTCTGTTGCGTTTGTGTGTATCTACGCTAGCCCAAGCAACCATATCCCTTCTGCTTGCGTTTTTTCATGCATCTGCCTAGGTCACAATTCCAATCATAATTGTCGTCTAATTTTATGCATCTCCTCAGCAGCTGCTTTTAATAATGCCTTCCCCCCTGCATGTGCTCTTACACTGTCTCCGCGACGCAACGCAATATTCCTTCTACTTACTTTCCAAGCATCCACTCAGCAGGTGCCACTATTCCCTTCATCCTCTTATTAAACCCTGCTTCTAATGAATACGGGAACCTTTTCCCAAACATTTTAGGATGGTGTATCGAAGTTTGTGTTGAATCCAAATAGGAATCGAACGCTGACGATTCGAATATGAATATGCTTGCAATGCTTTGAAAATCATACTCTTGATCATTCCTCACACTATCGTCAGTGACGTGATCTACAATGTAGCAGGCTTACTGCATTGTGTTGTGTGACAAAAATGGCTGCATGGTACAGGTCCAAGTATTCTAGAGAACTATATTTCCACAGTATGAAAAGCGTGTTAAGAAATAAAGAGAAGAAACCATGTATGTGTCTCCAATAATCAAATATTTGGAGATCGTTTACTTGACAAAATTGAAGACTTGACAAACAAATGCATGCGAGTAGCATGCCAATTCGAATTTGTTCTTTAGCTGTAGAGTATTAAATCGGAAACCAAGTACCATAATTGATTGACATATTTGTTTCCAGGCTCAAGCGTACCCCTTTCCTACCAGGATGTATAAGTTACACCAGTGGCGCTAGGAGCAATTTTATTGGCACGAGAGGAATATCATGCAACCATGGCTTGCAGCTGAAAGTAGGCAGCATAGACCACTTACCAAAGGGCTAGCGGATTAAATGCACCACTTTTGATTGAAATTGATGTACATATGGATGGCTCACCTCACCCGTGACAGAGTAGATATGGCTTGATGGTCGATGCCTTACTCTTGACGATGGGGTAGATGCCAGGCAGCACGTTGATGCCACACACGCCATCCCCTCCCTGAATGTCCATGCGCATATGTCCCCTTTGGCCCCACTCCTCTCCCCACGAGTTGCGGATGATCCAAAACGGAGGCGCAATCCGGTTCTGGCTGCCGTCGTTTCTTGTGATGAAGTAGCCAATAACGAGTACAACATGGTTGAGACTGCCTGTGTAGCAACCAGGATCCTGATATTTGTAAGACTGAAGTGAGGTGGGGGCAGAACATTCACAAAGTGGGAGTGAAAGAGTACAGGTCAGAAGGGGATGCAGCATTCCAAAGTGATGGCATGCATCTTTTTGTGAAAGAAGGACCATAATAAATGTAGGCACGTTACTGAGTGAGAGACGCAGCGACTCACCCCATCATACTGCATGAAGGTTGGAGACGCCTCGATGTGAACCACCACTGGCTGCCGCTGCACTGCCAGCATGAGCCCCACATAACCCTTGAACTGCGCTCGCTCAAACGCCTGTACTGGGTACGTTGTTGCCTGGGACCACGAGATTGCAGCATTGTTGGGCGGGAAAAGGTGGGGTTGATGTTGAGATTGGAATAGGCCTGGAGTTGGAAGGAATCTTGAAACAAGCGAAGGGTACATCTGTCCCCCCCGGAGGAGGGCCCACCAAAAAAGTGAACAAGGCAAATGATGAGAAGCACAAAAATTAATCTCACACCACGACATAATGATGCCTCAACAAATAGCCAACGAATCTCTGAGCCTCAGACACCAATAACAAAAAAAAGGATAATCGTACAATCAGAAACTCGCATAGCTGGATGAGGTGGTTTCACTATACCATTCCATACCACGTCTACCTGCTGTTTGCCCTACGAGACCACATCCTCTAGCTGGGTGGATGAGGATACATACCATACCATACCACGTCCGCATGCTGTTTGCGCTACCTACCGGGTCGCTGGCCCCTGTGAGCCCACTGGTGGCATCGAGAGCTGTGAGCTTCTCAAAGGCCTGGGTGGGGGAGCCGCCAGCAGAGCACTTGTCGGAGTCGGAAAGCCCCATGAGGGTGAAGAGCGCCTCCACTGACAGCTGGGGAGCGCTCTGCTGCTTTGCAATGCCGTATGCTGCCTCCACACTCGCCACCACCGCATATGCCCAGCACGCATCTGAGAAGTGGTAGAGCAAGAATGGTGATGCAAAGAAGGGTGGAATGATGAAGATAGGCTCCACATTTGTTTGGGTTACTCTCCAACCTGTGTAGATTTCATTCTCAACCTCTCCAACCTGACCAATACCATTTTTTTTACGATTTGCATAAAATTTCCTCAGATTACCCATGTGTCCTTTGATCCCTCTTGATGTGTTTTACTTATGGCTGGCTGTGTGCCTTGCATGGACAAGATGCAAGGTCAATGCCATTTGATGCCTCGTTCTATGCTGCGTGGACACGGTACAAACCACAGCAGTGTTTGGCAAGTACAAACGCAATCCACAATACTCACCGCAGAAAAGCAGCTCAAATGCTTACATATAAACTCCCGGTTCTTTCCACACTCACTGCAGTCGTTTTGGTTCTTGACAGGCCAGTTGAGGAAGGGCACGGAGTCCCACGTGTGGAAATCACGAATGCTCCACGAGTCCACTCTGGTGGCCGACAGCTTGAAGTCCGCACTCACATAGCGCGAAAAGGGACTGGCTCGAGTCGGTGCAAATGTGACCTCTGACAACGAGAGGCCGAGGGCTGTGAGGGGGGGGAAGTGTTGGACTTAAAGGGAGATGTGGATGGAAGTAGCAGTTGAGTTGAGAGGCATGGCGTGGTCTGATATTAAAGGCACCTGCTGGTGTCTCCAAGAAGTTTGACATGTAATAACGTGAGCTACAGTTGACTGACTAAAAATGGTGCTCAATCTCTCCTCAGTACATCAGTAATCGGCTAGAAAGGATAGGTGAAAAAATTGAAGGCAATTTCCAATGAGATCTGTTTACTTTTGCGCCCTAGAGCCCCCCATTGACTTCCTGAGCGACCCACAGTGCTAGCCAGCTGAGATTTTGAGGTGGTAGTAGTACTGCGCGTATCTCATTAACCCTCATGGACCATGATGGCGTGGTGGGAGAAACATCAACAATCTTCAGAACCTGCTGCCAGCATCTGTAATGAATATCCAAGTTATTGTGCAGGTTGCTTGCTTCTGGTTGGCGCATGACAGGGAGCTCACCTTTCTCATTAACCTGGGCTGCCTTGGGTGAAGGAGCAACTGTCGAGATAGACATAAGAAAGAGAAGCACAAAAGCCATAGAGTGCTGGTTGGGTCTTGGACAGGGAGAGCACATCATAGGATAGGAGTGGCAAGATGACGCAAAAAGGCTACCACTGTCATCATCTCCATAATGGCCAAGCTATGACAGGTGCCACCATCATCATCAGTACCCAGAAAAACATCTCAAGTAAACACCCCATCCTAATCTCTTGTTCCTGAGTGATCAAACTGGCCGGGTGATAAACCGATTTGGTTCGGGGGACGAACCAGCTGGTATTAAGTTCGGTTTGACACATCATTCACTCACTACGGTGCTTACGCGACCAATTTTTTTAAAGTTTCTCAGGAATGTATGACTACGAAATGAATGAGATGGATTATCGAAGATTGCTAGGATTTAAGTGAGACGAAAGTTGGAACTCGAACAACCACGTCCACCACCACCACTACTCCTTCTCCCCTACCACCCATCAAGGAAGTTAACATCACCCCACTTGCCTCAAAATAGCCTTGCCTGTTTGCACAGATGAGAAGAGAATGCCGTGCAGCTGGAAGGGCTTTGCAGTGGTGGACGCCACAAAGCCAAACGAGAACGCCGGCTGCTTCACTCCGGGCTGCAGCACCGCACACAGCGACACCTTCCCCTGCAGCAGCGGCTCCTCTGGCTTCGTCTTTGAATTCGACAGGAACACTAGAATGGTGCCGGGATCCCCAGGCTCATAGTCCACCCATGCCTTGTATGAGTCGCCGTCTGTCAGAGTGAACGGTGACACCTCCTTGACGAAGGGTTCCTCTGCACCATTGATGCTCAGCCCCACGTGCTGCTCGTCCGCATCATCCTGAAGCGTGTCAAATACCACGGCTATGCTCCTGGGTCCCACTCCACTATACCCCACACCACCAGGTTTCCCTGCCTTGGGCTTCGCCGCGATTACAAATGCAAAGCCGCTGGAACTTGCAGTACCAGACTGGGGCATGAGAGCGAAGGTGAAGTTGACTCGGAAGGCCAACCCCAAGCCGCATGCCGAGGTCACACCAGGCGGGTACATGAAGAGGGTCACTGGCTTCGCCATGAACTTCCCCACCGTCTCCTGCTGCGTGCCCTTGGTGAGCACCGTGAATGGCGGGAGAATGTTTCCTTGGAAGCCTGAGGAGTTGCAAAAGGGCAGCAGTGCACGGGGAAGGGTGGGAGTGGTGAAGAAAGAGAATGTGTGTGCTAAGCTGTGGAAACCAAATCATGTGGTCGACGCTATGAGGGTGGGGTCCTCTGATATGGGGTATGTGGCTGCCTAAGGATTTGTCGTGTGTGTGGTAGCTGAAATCGAACAACAACCGCAAACAACCTGGGGAAAGTACTGCAAAGTATGGGGTAACCAATCCGTGCATACCAGAAAGTAGAGAATGTGTCTGTAGTTAAGTGCATAATCCAAGGAGCACAAAGAATGTGACGTATATAAAGCCAGTGCTTTGACATTCTGAAAGCATGCAACGTTTTTCTTCACCTCCTGAAATACAGGTGATTCCTCCAAGCTGCAATGATCCCGCATCACACAGGCACGTTGGCACCAAACTAGGCCCATCTGGGTAGCACACGCCGCGACCACCACAGGCAGAAGCGGTTGGAGAGATGCCACAAAATGCCATGCACTGTGCTACCGGCCGCTGCATGGCAGGGCGGCAGGCTTTGTTTGGTGAGAAGCAGTTGGCAACGATGTTGAGTCGCCGGCAGTCTGGTGCGGACACAACACCCGACAGGTAGTTATCGGTCAAGTCCGCTTGGGAGAATGGGGGGAGATTCACAAGGGGGCCTGTGAGGTAGTTGCGGCATAGTCCACTGCAGGGGAGAGACAGTAAAATCAAGATAGAAGAAGAGGATAAGAAGGACGAGGGGTCAATGGAGAGCAAGGGTCCAGACTAGCACCCTCAGATCACTTGTACCTTGAAATCCACAATCACACGACTCCAGTTGCATGTGGCACTTTTATTAACAAGACCACAGGATACAGCGAAGGAGAGGGTGGTGGTCAGCGAAGCTGATGAAGAGGGGAGAAGAAGCTGACAGCCAGGCAAAGGCTTACAGATAACTCAGCACTGGAAGGTTGCTGATTGTAGCAGGAATTGTGCCACTGAGCCGGTTTTCAGAAAGTGACCTGTCACGATGAGCATGAGAGGGCATGCGGTAGATGCATGAAGCTCAAGTTTGCATGGATTCTATTCTACCTCAAGTTCTTACAGACCATACCCAAGCTATGTAGTTTACATACACTCATCACGTGGAGGGAAAATCATGGAAGAGACAGGCAGAAGGGAAACACGGCCAAGTAAAAGGGCTTACAGGTATTGCAGATAGTAAAGGTTGCCTATTGCAGTGGGAATTGCACCAGTGAGTTGATTGCTAGAAAGACCTCTGCCATGATGAGCATGAATGGGTATGTGGTAGACATGGGAAGCTCAAGTTTGCATGGCAACAAGCAGCGGATAAGAGCAAGCAACTCCATTCGAAGGTGAAATCCCTGAGAATACAACAGAGGCATGAGATGCAGCACAACATTGTCTGTGGGATTACGTGTGTGTCGTACTAACTTTGGGGCATTAGGCAACGTATGCTTGCTAAGGTACACAGGTTCAGGCAACCACGAGCTACGAACCTTGAGCTACATCAGCGTGACTCTAACCCATCCAGGTTGCGATTTTAGGGCTTGAACATCGAACCATGAGCTGTTTAGGCTGGCTCGATCCGGAACAAAGTGGTTCAGCTGATTCGACTACACCCGCCAGTTCGATCAGGTTCGAATCGGACCAGTTTGGCTTTGGTACTTGCTCATGCATACTTACAGGATTTCTAGGTTTGTAAGCATGCCGATTGTGGTGGGGATTGAGCCATTTAGCTGATTGCTATCAATACTTCTGTGAGGATGAACACGAATGGGTGAATGGGCATGCATGTGGTATACACCGATTGCCTGGAAACGAGCAGCGGATAGTAGCAAGCAATATACTGGGAAGCAAAATCCTAAAAATGCAAGAGGCATGAAAGACTGCGCGATTGACATTGTTTGTAAGGCGTGTGCCGAAAATGGCAGGGGATAGAAGGGGTCAGGAGAGTTGAGGAGAGACGTATTTTTTGCTGGCCTCAAGGCACGTGATAAATTGCACAGGGAACCGAGCATGTGAGAGGGAAGAGGAGAGGAGAAGTCACGAGCGAAACTCGGCTCGTGTCATTGCTCGTACGAGCATGACCAGGACGAGTTGACCTAGTTTTGCTCGGCTCGCCTCGTTGACCATGTCTCAGGTGTTCGAAACTGTTTGCGGTGAAGACATTCGAGTTCATCCGTTGCTCATGTCTAGTAGATACTCCTCGATCTTCTTCAAACGAAGGTCAAGGCATCTGCTATGGTTGTCAGTAGGACAGAGCAGTCCAGCACTCACTTCTGATAAATGCGGAATTTCTTAACAAGATCTCTGCTCCTACTGCGCCACACAAGGCATCCAATCCACAAGAATCACACCCTTCCCTACTCCACTTAGCAGAATAGCGTCATTGAGAGCCATATCCGCAATCTTGCAAATGCGGCTGCCATCTCTCTCATGCCTCCACGCCCCCTTCCCTATGGAGCCATGTTCTTCTCCATGCCCCTAGTTCGACAAGATTCAACAAGTACCGGTTTTGGTTCGGTACTTGCTCGTGCATACTTACAGGCGCTTTAGGTTTATAAGCATGCCAATTGCAGTAGGGATTGAGCCAGCGACCTGATTGTGATCAAGATATCTGCGACAATGAAAACGAATGGGCATGTACGAGGTAGAGATAGGGTGTTGAAGATTGCATAGAAACAAGTCGCAATAGGAGAGAGCAACACCAGTGGGAGAAAAATCCTGAAAATGTAACGGAGGCATGAAAGGAATATGAAAGGAACGTTGTTATAATAGAACGAGGAGTTGTTATAAGCCTTGCTGATGCAATGATGTGACGTTGTTTTGCTAACAGCAGCATCTTCAAAAACAAACAAACAAACAAACAAAATCCGCAAAAGAACCCCGCTCATCTTCCAACAGATAAAAAAGGAATAATTTTCCTCAACAACCACTTCTCTTTCCACCCTGCATCAAATCATGAGCTGTTTGGCTGGTTTGACCCGAACCAAAGTTGTACGGTTCGTCTACGACTGCCAGTTCAACCAGTTGACCGAAATGGTTTCAGGTTCGGTACTTGCTCATGCCTACTTACAGGTGTATCAGGTTTGTAAGGATTCCAATTTCAGAGGGGATTGAGCCAGTGAGCTGATTGTACTGAAGATATCTGCAACGATGAACACGAATGGGCATGCATACAGGGAGCTGAAGAGTGCATGAAAGCGGGTCAAGACAGGAGCAGGCAACTCCACTGGGAGGCAACTCCATGAAATTGCAAAAAGGCATGAAAGGCCTGGGGTGTCTGCTAACAATGGGGAGAGAAAAAGTGAGGGGAGTGGCAAGAAGTGTATAGATACTGAGTAGACAGGTTGTGCTGAAAGGGTAGACAGAGCATAGTCCAGGCCAAAACCGGCCCGTGGCCGGCTCGACCCGGGCCGCCCCTCTTGTCAAGCCGACCTGGCAGAAATTTTTGGCCCTCGGCCATGCAACCACATGCGGGCCATGGTTCGGCCAGGCCAGACCAAGACAGGCCTGGGTGGAGCCGGTCCAAGCCCAAGGTTCGCGCACCCAAAGAGGGTCGCACAAACGGACGAACAAACGAACGGAGGGGACGTAGGCTGTTGAAGCTTTTGTTTTAATGACCGAACTGCTGCAGTTTGTTGCAAACTTTTCTTTGCAAATTAATTGAGTTTGGTTCGACTAGGGTGGAGCCGATTAGATCGAACCGCACGAAATTTCGGTTCGATGCTCATGTCTATCCCAACCTTCACCACGTGTGATCTACTGAAAGCTCAACATCCTGATAAGGGTTCAAATATTTCAGCTAATCCCACCAAGTGGAGGCTTCAGCCCATGTGAGCTCATCTGGAGATTGCATGACACAAAGTGGAAGAGAAGCATCAAGGGTATAGGAAATCGTGGAGGAGAAAATCAGAAGGCAGAACACAGCCAAGCAAAGAGGTTTACAGGTAATTCAGGTTTACAAGGTTGCCTATTGCTGCAGTGGGAATTGCACCAGTGAGTTGATTGCTAGAAAGACCTCTGCGAGAATGAGCATCAGTGAGCATGCGGTAGACATGGGAAGCTCAAGTTTGCTTAAAACTTAGCAATAGATAAAAGCAAGCAACTCCTGAAAAGTGCAACGAAGGCAGCGTGATGGACATTTGTGCTGATAATGGTAGGGGATAAATGGGGCAGGTAAACTGTTGAAAGACTTGTGCGTCAGTTCCACGGAATGTCACCAAGGATCAGAAGTGAAATGACTGGAAAGGGAAGAAGTTTGGTTTATGAATGGAAGAACCGCACGAAGATATTTATGAAAAAACATATAGAGGAAGGACAAGAGCAATCATGAGGGACGAGCAAGAAGCAAGGAGGAAATGGATCAGAAAGGTCTTGCACTTGCCAATTGCACGAATTCTGAGCCCAGCGAGCACTCGAACGCTTGGCTCTAGACAGTAGTGTGGCTTCACTCTCCCTTACCAACCGACACAGGGGTGTTTGCCAGAGTCGTGTCAGACTCAGCTCGCTGTTTGTGCATGTCTGCAGAGAGCATGGGTCAAAAGAAGAAATTAAGGAGAGCACGGGAGTACAGCCAAGCAAATGCCTTGCCAGGGGCTTACAGATAATACAGTTTGGAAAGGTTGCTAATTTCAGCAGGAATTGTGCCACTGAGCTGATTGACAGAAAGTATTCTGTAATGAAGAGTATGAATGTATATGCAGTAGATACAGGCAGATAGATACAGGAGGCTCAAGTTTGCATCGAAACGAGCTAGGAATAGGAGCAACAAATTTACTGGGAGACGAAATTCCTATGCAACAGAGGCATGAAAGGCAGGACGATGAAAGACATTATCTGTGGGATTGGATGCGTACTGACATGACAATGGCAGGGGATAGAGGCGGCCAGGTATAGTGAGGAGGACGTGGTGCACGGGGAACAGACCATCGGATCGGAGAGTGGAGGAGGGAGGCGGGAGGAGAAACTAAAGGGAAGGAATGAGGCAGAAAAGAGGGATGATGCCTTCACTCCCCCTTACTGTCGCGCTGATAGAGCTACGCCGAGAGGCCTAAGAGAAGAGATTGAGCAAGTGTTTGTGAAAGGTTTGTGTAGTGTTATTGTTGGAGAGTTGCTGGTTGTGTGTGTACTGTACTGTCCTGAATGCAGACTGGTGGGAGGCAGTGTTGTTGGCTTGGCAAGTCTCGAGGAAGGTTGTTAGGAAGGAATTGAGGAGGCTGGTTGGCAGATTCCCAAAGAGGAAACTTTGGAGAAGCTGGCCTGTATGGCAGTGGGATGACTGAATACCAGCTGTTCGGGGAAAAGCCATTCCGCACCCAAGGCTGAGCTTGATGTGGCACATCACAAGGGAAATTCCACAACCAGGCCTTAGGACGCACGGGTGTGAGTAGGAGGAAGGCAGCTGGATAGAAGAATATTTCTGGGAGAAACTCTTCGTTTGCTTTTCACTTGAAAGCTACTTGTTTTCCTGAAGGAAAGCAGTGAAGAGAAACTGAAGTAGATATATCTGGGTAGGGGCAGTTTGGATTAAGGAAACGTTTGGCAAAGGGGTGGGAGCTGAAGACGAAAGGGAGCACAAGGAGGGCAGAAAAGGAGGAACGAGGGGATGACAGATTGAGAGCAGAGGTAAAAGGTGAGGAGAGAAACTTTTCATTACCACCGGCACAAAGTGAGTCACGTCAGACTCAGTTTGCTGTTTGTGCGTATCTGCAGAGAGACACTGCAGTACGTGTTACCTTCCACGCATCAACTTCCTGGTGTGTGCAGCTAGCTTGCCAATACGCCCACATTGTTTCTACGCATATTCTAGCTCAACACCGAAAATGCACTGTGCCTAAGAAAAGCGGAAGAGAGGGAAGAGACTTGGTACTTGCTCATGCCTACTAACAGGAATTTCAAGTTCGTAAGAGTGCCGATTTCAGTGGGGATTGAGCCAGTGAGGTGATTGTACTGAAGATATCTGCAACGAAGAACAGGCATGGGCAAATGAGCACGCATGTGGTAGACACAGGGAGCTGAAGATTGCATGGAAATGAGCAGCGGATAGTAGCAAGCAATATACTGGGAGGCGAAATCCCTGCGAATGCATGAGCCACAAGGCACATCCGAGGAAAATTAACATATGAGAGGGAAGAGGAGAGGCAAAGACAAGATAGCGACTAAAGGAAAGGAGTGGAGAGACAATGATAAACGGGTAGAAAGGCTGTGCAGAAAGAGTGGGCATGAGCTAAGGGTCAGGTCGACCCCCGAAGTTGTGGACGAGGCCTCTTCATTAATTAATCGGTTCGGGTCGAACCAACTCCACCACTTCAAGTCGGGCTCTACGCTACGGGACAGCAGGTTCCATCATATGGCAATAGAGAGAAAGCTGGGGCTCATTTTCCACGCTTCCAGCAACAATGCACTAGCCACGCGTGTTTCATGCTGAGTTTTCTCTGAAGGCAACCAAACTTGGACTGGTTCAAGCTGAACTGCACTAGAACTGATTCGGACTTGAACAACAAACCCTAAGCTGTTCCAGGTGGTTCAACCCGAACCAACCCTGGTTTGGTTCGTTCGACTATGCCCGTGACTTCGATCAGGTTTGACGACGCGATCCATTTCGGGTTCAATAACTTCTCAGGCCTTCTTACAGTTGCTGCAGGTTTGTCAGGATGCCGATTGCACTGGGGATTGAACCAGTGAACCGATTTTTAATCAAATATCTGTGACAATGAACGCGAATGACATGAATCAGGAATAGAATCAAAATGAGGAGAAAAATGGTGGAGAAGAGGAGTGAAGAAGCGAGCGCACAGCCAAGCACAGACTATGCGGGGTGGCTTACATGTATCCAAAGTTCGCAAGGTTGCTGAGTTCAGAGGGTACTGAGCCAGCCAGGCATCCTACTCCAACTTCTAGACTCGCTTCCCTACCTTCACTGCGGCCCTAATCCTCTCCAAGGGTTCTCTAAACATGGTATCTAGATCTACAAAAACATGGTATCCAGAGCCACATACTCGGCAACATAAGGAAGTTCCTCCCTCCATGGGCTCCTTCCTCCCTCACATAGATTCCAGGCTGCCTTTTCTGCATTTCTCCTCCCTCTTCCTCTAGTCGTATTCCCAATGTCCGTCCGATTTCTAGAGAACGCCTCGCAGCTATCAGCGCGTTACCTCTCTGCCCTTAGTGCCGCCACGCCACCCTCCTACCGACCAGTGCCGACTCCACACTCTCTGGGCCAATTTGTCCGCTCTTTGCATCCACCACCTCCACGCTCTCAGCTACGGCTCGTGCGCCCTCAGGTCAACTCACCCTGTGCGCTCTGACTAAGCCCTATACCCCCAACTAAGCCCTATACGCTAAGCCCTATATAGGGATGAGCAAGGGGAACACGTTCGAGGCGAACTGAACAGGTTTTTTTTTTGGGTTTAAAGTGTTCGCCGAACAGTGTTCGAGGTTCGCCCGAACACGTTTCTTGTTCGGGCCGCTGCTGCAATTTGCCCCGCGACGAACACGAACGTGTTCGAGGTCCGCCCGAACGCGCCTTCACAGGCGAACGGCGAACACCTGTTTTTGCTAAAGGTGTTCGCCGAACCGAACACTGTTCGGTTCGGCAAAGGGCTGTGTTCGTGTAGGGGCGAACACGAACACGTTCGTGTTCGCCCCTTGCTCATCCCTAACCCTATACCCCTCAAAAAAAGCCCTATGCCGCCAAACAAAGCCCTATACCCCCTAGCTAAGCCCTATAATACCCCCTAACTGAGCCCTATACCCAATAACCAAGCCCTATACCCCCTAACTAAGCCCTATGCGCCCTCATACACGGCCTTACCCTCTGCCTTTTGCTCTCCCAACCCAACCCAACCTACCCAACGCCCTTCCCCTCCTCCTCCCTCTTTTCCCGCATCTGCTGCAGCCGATTTCTGGTTGCTGTTTCCTCTCGAACAGTCCGTCTCATTAGATGTGATAAAACGTAAGACAAGAAGTACTATCTGAACTAACCTGCTCTCTAAACCTCCATTTACCCAATGCGTTTGGGCCGTTGAGAACGTACAGAATAGAGAGCTCGCATAGTATATTGAGGCGCCTCAAATCAAAATACACCTCAATGAGAACGTACAGGAGAGAGAGCTCGCGGAGGCTGCTGATGGAATCCGGAATGGACCCGCTTAGACTGAGCTCAGGTAGATTCCTGCACGTAAGAGCACAGCACAGCACAGTATCCATATGCACCCAGCATGCCATCGCAGCTCCGCCCACTTGGTTTCACGGAAAATGAATGACTCGTGGTGCGGCCGGCCGGCATATGGGGTAGCCGTAGCCCTAGCACGCAACATCATGGTGGTCACTGCATTGCATGCGCACACTGAAGCAACCCCACCCCCCTGCACGAGCGCATTGCCGTCAGAGTGAGTGAGTGCGGATTGAACCTCACATCTCCAAGATCATTCCGTTGCTGTCGCATGTGATACCCTTTGCTCTGCTGCAGTCCGGATGGGCGGCCCCCCAACCAGGCAACGCCTCATCCCATGCCGTCTGGCAGTCCCGCAGGAATTGCACTGCGGTTGGTGGAGTGGAGGTGGGGGAGTGGATGGGGAAGGGAGGAGAAGGAGAGGTGGGGGAGTGGATGGGGAGGGGAGGAGGAGAGGTGTGGGAGTGGATGGGGAGGGGAGGAGAAGGAGAGGTGGGGGAGTGAGTGGATAGGGAGGGAAGGAGGAGAGGTGGGGGAGTGGATGGGAGGGGAGGAGAAGGATAGGTGGGGAGTGGATGGGGAGGAGAGAAGGGGAGGTGGGAAAGTGGATATGGGGAGGAGAGGAGAAGGGGAGGTGGGGGAGTGGACGGGGAGGGAAGGAGAAGGGGAGGTGGGGGAGTGGATGGGTGGGGAGGGAGGAGAAGGATAGGTGGGGGAGTGGATGGGAAGGAGAGGAGAAGGGGAGGTGGGGGAGTGGATGGGGAGGGGAGGAGAAGGAGAGGTGGGGGAGTGGATGGGGAGGGGAGGAGAAGGAGAGGTGGGGGAAAGGATGGGGAGGGGAGGAGAAGGAGAGGTGGGGGAGTGGATGGGGAGGGGACGAGAAGGGGTAGTGGGGGAGTGGATGGGGAGGGAGGAGAAGGAGAGGTGGGGGAGTGGATGGGGAGGGGAGGAGAAGGAGAGGTGGGGGAGTGTATGGGGAGGGGAGGAGAAGGAGACGTGGGGGAGTGGATGGGGAGGGGAGGAGAAGGAGAGGTGGGTATCATTCAGAGGGTGGGGGAGGTAGGCGGAGAGTAGGAATGAAACGGGGAGTTGGTGGTGTGTGTGTGTCTGGTTGGGGGGAGTGGCGTGAGGAACGCACGCAGCAAGCAATGGCACATAGCGCATAGAAACGCCACCTCGCAATCATGGCTTTGAAAACAAACAAACAAACAAAAAAAGGATGAGGATTGCAAACAGGTGTGAGTCAGTCAGGATACCCAATGTCCCCCCCAAGTGTCCCAGCAGAAACTTAGGGGCGGGCGAAACCTAGTAATCACAAAAAAAAAAAAAACAGCACTTGTCACGAAACGCCACAGCAAGGCAGTCATAAACTGCTTCCCGTTTCTGTTTCCGACTATGGCTTGTCCCGAGCCATCATTTCGTCACACCCAACCGCAGGTGCTCTGACTCCGAGTGCATTTTACCTCCCAAGTCAGAAAGAAACACTTGTGTGAACGATAGTGTTTTCAAAAAAGAAATTCCTAGGGTACGCAAGTGGTGCCGACGGATACCCATGCCTGCCTGGCTTGTTCCTGGATATCCACTCCACTAGAATTGTCAGGGCGTGTTTCGTAAATTAGTATAGAAAGAGGTCTTTGAAACGTTGGCAGGGGCAATTTTGGGATAGGTATTGGCTCGACTTGTCGAGCTCCGTTGCTCACTGAAGTGAACATTGTCTCACCTTGCGACGCCTCAAGCGACTGGGCGTTGACCAGGGCGACGGGCGTGGCAAGTTGAAGGACCGCGAGACACCATGCGAGAGCCAGCGCGCGCTGCACCCATCTCTCTACTACTACTAGTAGCGCCATGATTTCCTACTCGCGGCTCACCGCCGCCGCGAATTGGGGCGCCGGCACGCCAGGTGGAGCGCTGCACTGCACCGCTCCGCGCTCCGCAGCTGTAACGTCGTCTGCGGGCCAAACGCGCTGCACTGCGCCGCTCCGCGGCGCTGGTGACTCGGGCCAACGCGGCGGCGGCCCCGCGAGGGGGCGGCGCTGTTACGCGAGTGCTGATACGCGCCCGTGGCAACAACCGCCAAGCTTCGCGAGTGCCGCTCTGCTTCTCACGCTCGCACTGCTTGCTCGGCGGTTGTTGCCACGGGGCGGCCCCGGCCCCGGGTCGTGATGAAGCGAACGAGTTTTTAGACGTCTCAAAACCCGTGGATCAAAGGCACACGAGTGAGCCACGTGGGGCCGGCGGGACTGATGATGGGTCGTCGAACGCGGTGGGAGATCGGCTATTACGCTGCCGCGTACATGAGACCGGACGAGACGCTTGCGAGTGAAATTAGACTATGAAGGGAAGGGTGGGTGGGACCGAAAGCAGTGCCGACGAGTGAGGAAGGGCGAGTATGTTGGGTTGAGAAAAAAACGCCTTGGTTGCGGCCGCCCTGACGCAGACTATCCTCGCAGCGGTCACACCATCGCCCATTGCTTCAGGCTCCAGCCTTCGGTCATGGACTGCTTGTGTGGATTAGGGCTGTTCCGCGACTGAGGGTGACCACAAGGTTACTACTATTGTTGTGTGGGTTTCGAGTATTCATCCTCTCGCGTTAACCTTAGTACATCGTTTGAGGAAGTGGATATTCGTTAGAGAAATTGTAGAACGAATCATGGTTGTGCTTTCTTATTGGATGGCAGGATAGTCCATGTAAAGGGTACCCCACTGGTGATACCCCGGCTGTCAGTCATAACGCCACCTGCCCAATTAATCATGGGTGCTTCTTTGATTGGAAATTAACGTATACCGTATTCTCCCGGATAAAACACCCTAGGGACCAGTGGGCAAAAATGGGGAGGGTCTCCTCAAAGGAAAATCCTACATAATGCCCGGGTCTTATTATATGGTATAATTTTTATCAAGCAAAAAAGATGTAAAACAAAATCAAGGGTCTGACTTCACTTCAAGCTTGTTGATCAGTGCCGCAAAACCGAGTATACAATGATAACGTGACTGCCCACTGTAATCTGCCACAAGGCAAAATTCCAGTGGGCAACCCTGGCACCTGATAGGGTGAAAACAAGCTTGCGTAGCGAGGATTCATGCAACCGCCGAGGCCGGAATCGCGCACGGTGGTGCGTTGTCACTATACCAGTCACTTCTTGACTGGTTTGGTCACTTCTTGGGCCACTTGCAACGGAAGATTCGCCAGCGTGGCAACAGCGAGATTGTTGGAGGGGGGAAAGCTCAGCAGATCCTAAGTGAAAGTACACGCGAAAATTCATCTAGGTCGCGATTTTTGCGATCGGACTCTGTCAAAATGAGAGAAGTGGTTGGACTAGCAAGATTGGGAGTACAAGTAGGAAACCCTAGAATATTGTACCCCCTAAGGCTAAACCCACTGTAGCCTACAGAACAGTAACATATATAATGTTTGACACACCTCCAAGGGGTTACAAGACCAGTCAAGAAAGATAAAGCAAGCTCAGGGTGGATCACAAAGTCACCATACACACTGAGCACAAGCAAAGGGCCATAAGACCAGTTCACATGCAGAGGCATATATGCAGTACAAACAACACAGTGATCTCGATCTAGCAAAGCAAGCATGCAGGTATATATATATATATATATCACAGTACAGGCAAAGCCTACAGCAAGTGAGGAAAAGTGGGCACAATGTTGAAAAGTAGAGGTGAACGAGAATGGATGAAACTAGGTAGGAGGGGGATACAAGTAGGAAACCCTAACAAAGTTGTACCCCTTGAAGGCTAAACCCACTATAGCCTACACAATTTAAACATATAATGTTTGACACACCCCCATAGGCTAAGTGGGAGACAACCAGATGGTCACAAGACCAGTCAAAGCAAAGCAAAGCAAGCTCAGGGTGGATCTCAAGGAATCCACACAAATTCTGAGCACAAGCAAGTGGTCACAAGACCAGTTCACATGCAGGTTGATAGTATAACAAGAGATACAGCGATCACAACCTAGCAAGAGTAAACATGCAGGTATATATATATAGAGATCACAGTACAAGCAGAGTCAAGAAGTAAGCAAGTGAGGCCCAGTAGGCACAAGGCCTAGAACAGTACAGAAGCGCTGATGGTCACAAGGCTGAAGCGCCTTGGTGAACACATCAGCAGTGTTGGCCCGAGTGGCCACGTAACGCAGACGAAGCTGACCGCGCTGCTGCAGCTCTCGAGCAAGGAAGTAGCGCAGAGCGATATGCTTCGTTCTGTGCTCCAGTCTGTGCTCCTCACACAAGGCAATGGCAGCCTTGTTGTCGACGTACAGCACTGGAGGAGAACGAGGCCGCTCTCCCAAGTCGGTCAGCAGGTAGGTGAGCCAGCGTAACTCCTGTGCAGCCATGGCTGTGGCGTAGATCTCAGCGTCACAACTGGAGCTGAGAACAGAAGACGAGCGTGTAGAACGCCAAGAAACTGAACCAGAGCCAAGGCTGAAGGTGTAACCCTGAGACGACCGCTGAGTAGCCTGGTCGTCAGCCCAAGACGCGTCTGAGTGCCCAGTGAGTACAACTCGGTCTCGTCCTCCAAGCACTAGCCCCATGCCCGACGTACTGCACAAGTAGCGCAACACCCTCTTAGCGGCATCCATGTGCTCCTTCCGGTGACGGCCAGGAGCGACATAGCGTGCAAGGATGCTAAGAGGCTATGCAAGGTCAGGTCGAGTGCAGGTCATCAGGTACATGAGGCAGCCCACAAGCTCTGGATACGGGCCACTCGGCTCTACGGACTCATCCGAAGGCAGAGCTGAGAGCGAGTGACCGGTAGGCAGAGGAGTGGGCTGAGGCGAGGAGTACGTGAAGCGGAAGCGCTGAAGGACCTGCTGCACCATGTGTGACTGAGTCAAGGTGATGGTGCGCCGTGCTCTGTCCCGGGTGATCCGCAAGCCAAGATAGCTTGTCAGTTCACCCAGGTCTGTGCACGTGTGTCTCTTCTGCAGCTCCGACTTCACGTGGGCGAGTGCCGCAGTGTCAGCAGTGGCAAAGACCAAGTCGTCGACGTACACGAGGATGTAGGCAGCGAGGTGTCGGTGCGTAGAAACAGCGACGGGTCAGCAGTAGAAGGAGCGAACCCAAGAGCCGCAAGTGTAGTCCTCAGTGTGTCGTGCCACTCACGTGGCGCCTGTCGGAGACCGTAGACTGGCCGCCGGAGGCTCCACTGGGTACCAGGAGGGAACGACCCAGTGAAGCCAGGTGGGCGGCGCAGCCAGATCTCCTCGTGCAGGCTGCCCTGTAGGAAAGCAGTGCTGAAGTCAAGAGAGTGGAGCTCGTAGTCACGCTGAGCGGCGACGTGCAGCAGAACCCGAAGAGTGGTCATCTTCGGGGTCGGGGAGAAGGTCTGGAAGAAGTCAACTCCCTCTCGCTGACTGAAGCCTCGTGCAACGTAACGCGCCTTGAAGACAGGCGGAGAACCCGGCGGCCGCTTCACCCTGAAAATCCACATGCCACTGACGATGTTCGTCCCAGGTGGGGGAACCTCGTCGACGTAGGTGCCTGTGGACTTCCAGGAAGCCATCTCTGCGTCCATGGCTGTCTGCCACTGAGAGGAGTAGGGACCCTCTATCGCCTCTGCGTAAGAGCGCGGAGTCGGGATGTCTGGTGCATCCGGGTCTCCCTCAGGGGCAACTAGCATGGACACGAGATGAGGTAAAGCAGCGGCAAAGCACTCAAACTCCTCCTGCCTGTCCTCAAGGACGTCTGTGCCAAGAGCACACTCACCCCCGACGGACGGAGGACAGACAGACTCAGACTCAGCAACTAGGCTAGCGGCGTAGTCTAGACGACAAGTGGCAGCAAAGTCGACAAGCTCGGCAACTAAGGCAGACGCAGCAGTGGACTCAAAGGAAGGGTCAGTGACAACAGTAGCCAGGAGACGCGTGACAGTAGGACTGGTAGCACGAAGGGAGTCAGACTCAGGGTCAGCAAGAGCAGGAAGAGAGGACGCAGGAGGAGACGGGAGAGGGACACGCTGAGGAGCAGTGGAAGGACGAAGCGCCATCTGGTGAGTGCCTGGGACAGCAGGAGGACGCTGACGCG